CGGCCAACGGTATGGAAGGAGTGCGTGTATGGGGTGATGCCATCTCCTTCTGGGTAAGGCGCAAGCCACAACACACTCTCCACGCTGGCGAACCGGAGCTATGCCGCTATGCTGTTGCTTTCTGAATCTGGCACGGCACCCGTAGAAAACACGGACAACAGCTACAGTAGTGTCTTTGTCTTCATATGATATGTCACAGCTTCGCAACTTGCATGATCTTGCATGAAACAGCCAACTTAGAATCTCAGAAGATGCCGCCACTGACTGTCGGCTGCGCCAAGACAACGACTCGGCTGCGATGCCCATGCATGTCAGCAATCTGCAGTGCTCGATAGATGCTTGCAGCAGACATCGGTTATGTGACCGATCTGTTGTATCTCCGTTCAATTTGTCGAGCCTCAAAGGCAAAGGCCTTCCCTGCAAACAGGGTGCATCCAACTCCCACAGAGCTCGAAACCGGGATGCAAGAGTTTCCATGCATGGTGCCCAGAGCACCTTCCCGGACAGTTTGCTCCCCAGCAGGCGCGTTAGCCCATCGCCCCACTGTCATTCACCATTCTCACCCATGGTGCGTTGGCCCCAAGGAGCATTGGGAATACCCGTGCACACTGCGCCCCACACCCGGCCAACGGTATGGAAGGAGTGCGTATGGGGTGATGCCATCTCCTTCTGGGTAAGGCGCAAGCCACAACACACTCTCCACGTTGGCGAACCGGAGCTATGCTGTTGCTTTCTGAATCTGGCATGGCACCCGTGGAAAACACTGACAACAGCTACAGTAGTGTCTTTGTCTTCATATGATATGTCACAGCTTCGCAACTTGCATGATCTTGCATGAAACATCCAGCTTAGAATCTCAGAAGATGCCGCCAGACTGCCGGCTGCGCCAAGACAACGACTCGGCTGCGATGCCCATGCATGTCAGCAATCTGCAGTGCTCGATAGATGCTTGCAGCAGACATCGGTTATGTGACCGATCTGTTGTATCTCCGTTCATGTTGTCGAGCCTCAAAGGCAAAGGCCTTCCCTGCA